CTACTAGAACCTTAAATGTTTCTATTCCATCTTATTTTGAGATTTCAAGCAAAATGTCTCTGTTGAGAAAAACTAGTACGAAACATCTGCAAAATGTGTGCAAATGTGTGTGAACTTCTTGAAAATTTCTGTGAAAATGTAAATCTGGAAAGTTTCATTTAAAGTTTTGATTCCTACAGATTGTGTTGTGATTGAAAACTTTATGGAAGCAACATGAGTTCAACATGTGGCAAATAAAAAATTTCAATTGAAAACACAATTTATTTATATTAATAAATAAATAATATAAAATAAGCATAAACAAATGATAGTAAAATAAAATACTATATATTATTAAAAAGACGAACTGATAATTAAATATTTTAAATAAGAGTTTAAATAAAACAAAATATTATGCAAAATTAAATAATTTTATTTGGTACAATTTTCCACTTTATACTCAAGAGCAAATATCCTCATAAAAATTTACATAAAATTTTTAAATAAAAAGGAAAAAACTTCGTCGAGTGCACGTCAGTTGCAAAAATATTACAAATGAACTCATCAATTTAATAAGGATTTTATAGAGCTTTCTCAGGTGACTTAGCCATTGTTTACAAATACTCGATTTACGTCATTGACAATTTGATTGATACGCATTTCACAGACAACACGACGTATGAGTACTTATTTTCAGTGAAGGCGTACTCAACTGGAAATTAAGTCTTATCGTTTTATTTTTTTACGGAACGTTAATGAAATACTTATTTTAATAGATAATGATTTTAGCAAAACAGATTGACATTTTTTTAGTAGAAAAATTTTTATACCCAACTTAAATTTTGTTAATAATTATTAAGCATAATCTTGAATGAAGTTATTAAACCTAATTAAGTTTAATAAATCGGTCAAATAGTCAATAGTAACCAAATTTTGCTGCGTACTTCCCGACCCCAGTTTATTACAATACAAATAAATGCTTTATATCATACCCTTGTAATCCATTGCAAACTTTTGATCAAAGAATTTTTATAAACTAATAGATCTCCAAGTGGTATTTGTATAATATCTATAACATTTGCACTGTGTCATAATTATCATTTATAATCGATATGTTTTAGAAACCAATTATTGCCAATTTGCTTCTTTAGTTATATTCATATAGATCCATTTGAACCTATATGGTGGTCTAAGTCGCTTCTTTAATAGAAGAGATTCACTCAGGCTTTGATATTGGCTGTTTTATCATGTCATATTTTATACATTTGATTTTCGAACCAGATAATTAAATAAAATATAGATCCATTTGGACCTATATGTTAGTCTGAGTGGGCTCTTTAATACAAGAGGTTCACTCAGGCTTTGATATTCCATCTTTAGTCATGCCATATTTTATACCGTTGGTTACACTTTCATAGTGTCCAAATCAGACACATTGCTATTTGAGGATACCAGACTCTATAGTGGGTATATGCTTTGAAGTGTATATCAAGCAGAGACATTTAATCCACAGTAATGGCAGTAATCATTATAGAGAACTTTTAAATGGTCAGCATATCCAACTATTAGCAGGAACCCCAACAGTCTGGCACTTGTGTACTGAATAATTAGTTACTCAGTTACTTTCAATTTTTATGGGGTCTATATCATAGGTGCATAAATTCTTACTCAGTTTTAAGTAAAGCTCTGCGTCTGATAATAAGTGAAAGTAACAATAATTGATACAGTTTTTTTTTGTTAATTTTTGAATCCATTTTCAAGAAAACTTTTCGTTTCATTCAATTTACAAAATATTTTACTTACTACTAAAATTTGAATGAAAACATAAGCTTTACTCTAAAAGGTTTATAAACGCATTTTCTTTATAAGCTGAGCACAAAGTTTATACCCATTTGTGACTTAATTAAAGGCGACCAAAAAATGTTGGAAAACTAAAATCCAATTAAGCAAAAGATTATTTTGCAAATATAGAAACCCAAAAGCACGAAAAATGTTTTCACCGGAAGTAGAACGGCAAGTAACAGGATAATAAAAACATGCAACAATTACGGCATTTTGACTCTCCATCAACATTTTGAAACGTGCCAAACTCTGTTCGATATTATTTTAGGCCAAAACCTTGGGGGAGTTTGAGATTGGATGTGAAAGAATTGCTGAGTGGAAGTGAAAGTACAATAACTTTCTCTGACATTCTCTGACGGTTATTTACCTTTAACTGAAAATGGAAAATGGAAAGTGGACAAGAAAAACTTATTGTTCACGCATATTTAAATACTCCACTTTGGTAGGATTTTGTTACTCGCTTTCTTTTCTCTTTGTTGAAGGACAAGGCGACGTTTGCAGAAATGGAGCTAATAAAAATTCAATTAGTTTGTGAGCACTTCTAATTTGTTTTATTGTTTTGGGGAAAACTTAATGCAGAACTGTGAAGAATAGTTTGAGGTGTTGAAATACTTCTGCGACATACACTTCATTGTTTGTGTTGATATAAATTTTATGAAATGAAAATGCAAATTCAATACTTGAGGGAAAACTTCTGTAAACTACTGCGAACTCCAGTAAATGTTACGCTGCAGCAAGTTTATAAGAAAATACTGCTGAGGAATTATTATTAATATGTTAACTTCATTTAAAGACGTTCCAAAGTTTTGGTGAAGCAGTTTGAAATGTTAAAATTCGAAACAGTTCCTTAGCATAAAATAACGGAAGTTTCCAAAGAAAAATGCGTAAGTGAATGTTGAACAGAAGTTCAAGTAAATTAGAATTACAAAATTGGAAACTTTCTTCCGCTCCAGTATATTTTCCTTCACTTTCAAATACTTGGCATTGTGATATTTTAATAATTTTCTAAACAGCAAACATTTGTGGTTTAAATATCGAATTATGTAAATTTTAATTACAAACCGAAAAGAAATAAAATCCGCTTAAAAGCAAAGGAGTTCTTTGATTTTATTAATATTTCCTTTTTAAAGTACTAAACCTTTGCCCTAATAGCTTTTGTATCATTTATTATAAACATTTAAAATGTGTTGGTTAATTAAAACGCTTAATTTGTTTTATAATTTAAATTAAACAAACAAATCTAAAAGTCTGCCAAAATACAAAACACAGAGCAGCAGGAAATGCGTTCACGTCACTACAGCTTGAATTGAACCACCTGCCTTTATGGCAATTTCGTCAATAGCCGTCATAATTTCACGTCTGTTTGACCCCTAAGTAAGCCAGCCAAGGTCGTTGAAATAGTCGTTATTATGTTTGTAAGCTATGTCCTTGTCCTTCCGCTCAAACATCGACGAAGCCAAAAGTTAAAGGCAAGGTGGCATTAAGATTCCTGAAAAACATATCACAAACCGTACTCGTACTAACTGCTTGTATCTTAAGGATACAGTAAAGGGTCAAATGTAGTTAAAGTCAGCACACAGCAGCTTATGGTCCGTGCATTTACGATTTCATTTTGATTGCTTCCTTTCGAAATATGTAACCTATTGCTTAACCTTTGGTATGGCTCCATTTTGTGTTATTTAATTTAATATTTGCAGTATTTTGAAATTTTTTTTTTTGGCAATAACAATACTTCCGAAATATTGTAGTGGCAGGTAATTTATGGTTGTCTGCCATTGTACTGTGTTACTATTTTATTTGATTGTCTATAGCGATGTCTATGTCTATATCTGTATCTGTATCATTGTCTGTATCTATGCGATAAAACTATTTTTATCGGAGGGTATGACTTCTTGGTTCTTGATTACACATTGCCTTGTTTTTCTAGTTCAATAAACCATATTCCTTTTTTGTTGTTGTTATTGTTGACAGCCTTAATCCATCAAATTTTGCTGACATATTAATTTTACGTGTTGCTTAACACGTTAACAATAAATGCTTCATCATTTGTTACTAGGCAGTAATTGCACTTTGTTTGCAAAATGCTTCGATATTATTTACTGACAAGTAAAACCATTTTTATTAAACTATAAGAACTCACACTTTCCAAAAATAAATAAATTGAATTGAATTTGTATTAATACTTGATATATCTCTACTATTTTTCAGCTCTTCCTCTCAATCTTACAAGTGCACAACTGGACACTTTAAAATGACTAATGGAAGGTGTCACGTTACTCCTTACTCCTTCCGTGCATCATCTACAACTTTAAACACGCGCCAAACTTAAATTTCAGCAATTAATTTTGTTGGAAAAATTTGCTTCACACTTTTTCGATATAAACAAAATGGCTGCACGTGGAAGCAGTCAACTGAAGTCAATAGTATCAATATCAAAATTGTGGAAAATTGCAGTAGAACATAACCTAAAGCATTCCCAGGTGCAACACAGTCAGAAGTTGAAACAAAAACCAAAACAAACAAAACGACTAGCAAAACAAATAAACAAAGAGAAGTGCAGAAATGTAACATCCGCTTCCGCTTTTCAAGCGCAGCAGGGGTTAAGGAAAAAGTGTGCTCTGGTCAATTATAACTAAAGCGAAAGCTAGCACACGTGAAGTGCAACTTAGCAAACGAGAACTGCTGTTAATATTCCACAATCGGTGCCATTGTGTGTGTGTGCGCTATCAAGCAGAAGTTCCGTTTCCGCTTGGGTGTGAAAAAGGACACTTCTGAAGCGAAGCTTTGTGAAAAACGCTTAGTAATTGCACAACTCGTTAAAATCTAACTAAATTTATTTATGAAACAAAAACATTAAAAAATTCTCTGACGATTAAAAAATAATCAGTGCATTCTATTAATCAAAGTCTAAAAAAACAATCTGAAAGAGCTTTTGTGTAACTTTTGTGTAATTTGTGTGTATTTTGTGAGGAATTAAATGCCCCAAAATAATTTCAATTGTAGTAGCAAACAAATGATAAAAATTTCAACTAAATAACATTATTTTAAAAATAAAGGAACTTTTATTAAAAGTGTGCAATTATAAAAAATATTAAAAAGAAATTATCAAAATTATTTTATTAAGAATTTTAACATTGATTAAGAAAAAACTTAATTATATAAATAATAAGTAAATTAAAATTAAAATCTCATACGCTACAATATGTCCGAATATAGTTTCATTGCCTTTACTGATTTTGAATACTCCACCGATCGCTCACAGAACTTTCTCGATCTACCAATTTCACGCTTTCAACCATCAAAGCCAGCCAACGAAACCAATCCGAATGAACTTAATGTGCCATACACCGTCTTCGAGGTGCTTGTTGCAATATTTGCCATCATTGGCAATCTTATGGTGATCATAGTCTTTCAGAGAGAACGCAGACTACGCCGACGCACGAATTACTACATCGTCTCTTTGGCCATGGCTGATTTTTTAGTTGGCTTACTTGGAGTGCCATTTGCTGTGATGGCTTCTATTGGCTTGCCCACTAATTTATATGCTTGTCTATTTACTGTCTCTCTACTAGTGATGCTCTGCACAATATCAATATTTTGCCTGGTCGCAGTATCTGTCGATCGTTACTGGGCTATACTTTACCCCATGGCTTACTCACGTAATGTGCGAACGAGAACTGCTATAAGTAAGTATTTTTAATCGGATTCTTTTGTCGTTATTATTATTTTTTGTAGAAAAAAATATATTTATAAGTATTTTTTTTTTGATTTTTAAACACAACAATACAAATAATTGATAAGCTTAGCCGGTAGCATACCTAAGCCACTGATGACAAGTTGTATATAATGAACTTTTTTTTACTTTCTTACCTTTCTGTAAACTGCGATCATGGTTATCATTATCCGCGTTTATCTACAGCATATTAAACTGTTAATAAACCCTTAAATAGACTAACTTTGCTACAGCTATAGTTCACAATATATCCCAGTAGCCCAAAATAAAAGAGCCACCGATGGTATAAAAGTATCTCCAAATAATCTATTTTCTCCACCTATCATTAAACGGTTTAAAAAAGGAGATTATATTGGCATGTAAGTTAAATGTTCCCAGTCTTATCTTCCGATACCCAATTTGGCTTACATCTAGTTTGATATTATAAACAATATCATATAACATATACGAGAAATCTAGAGAAATATGGAGCAATGTTGGCTTCTCATATCTTCATTACTCGATAAGACGAATATATTCCTATTTAGAATATTCACCTTCATATCAAGTGGAATATCATCCACCTTTAGAAAAAGTGTTTCTTTCTAAATCGTATCAATATTCATTAAAAAGAATGTTTTTTCAACAAATATCTATTAAAAAGGATTTGTTGCTTTTAGAGCCTAAACGATTTAAATAATTTTATTCCCTTTGAAGAAATAACATATATTCGTTCATTGTATAACTTCAAACCTCTGTTCTGAAAAAGTTCCTTACAACCACATGCCATTCAAAATTATTTCGAGTCCACATTAAGCCATCGATTTTCAATAACACTTTGAACTTCTTACAACATTTCTTCAATATCCTAGGAAAACTAAATATTCATTATATATTTTCTCTCTTATTCATTATGCCTATGTCATGGTTAATTTGGATAGAAATACTTGTGATATCCTTACTAATATATATATGGAAAATCGTGTATGTGTATATATCTAATCCTTCACACATTTTTATATTTAAACTTAAGTACTGTGTTTCCAATTTTTGCTTTAATGATGGCAATTCATCCATATATCGTAGGTGTTAGCAGGGAATTTCATTGTTTAATGATTTTAGATTTTATGAGAAGCTTTTGTGTTCCTAAGCCATACATTTTTCAGTGGCACATGAATGCATTTCATGAACAATGAAGCTTAAAGGATACTTATTTTCTGTAATATAATAGTGTACAATAGTAGAGTTTTATGAAAACAGATAATGTATGCCAAAAATGTAAATGACAAAAAATTACTATTAAAAATGAATATACTTACATATATATTTGAAAGATATTCTATATAAGTTAAGGTCACCAGAATAGTGATTACTATAAAAAAGAAAACCACGAAAGTCCTTGTTTGCAACAAAGTTCAAGTTTAACTTTATATTAAGCTCAGACATATCTTAATTTCGCAAAAATCTTAATTTCATCTTCATTTCAGCGAAATTAAGAGGTTTTTTCCATACACATTTCAGTTTTGAGATTAGGTCGAAATTAAGAAAAATGGCCTTAATTTCGTTGAGGGACATTTCAAATGCAACTATGCGTAAGATAAACTTTAAGCAAAAGATGAAGTTGAGTTACCGAAAAAGTGACGTTTTTTTAAATAAATGTCAGTCATAGTTCACTTTAATAAAACCGGGAAAATATTTTGAAAGTAGTGCAAATTTTTAAATAAAACTACTACCATCCTTTATAATTATAATAATCAACTTTTAAAATTTCCCAGATAGAAATAGTGTTTCGAACATGTAATTTTTAACATTCGATTTGTAAACAAGAAACATATGATTTCTTTAATTTGGGGCAGTATGAACACTTTCGAAATTAACTTAATTTCATTTTTACGAAATTAAGGAAATTTAGTTGTCTGAACATAGTATTAAGAATTTTCAAAATATATTTTTCTAGATAGTGTCTAACATTATCTTTATTATTTTTAATGTTCAAATTGTTTGAGTCGTATTATTTTTTATGGACTTCTAAAAAGTGTCCTTAATTAAATAATAAAAAATTTTTTAATTAAATTTAAAAATTTTATTTGTAATTTTTAGGAAATTATTCCTTCAAAGACCTTTCATTTATTTGATTTTTCTTACTAAATTGCGTGCAATGAAATCATTTACTCGGCATGAGTTTATAATCTTAAAAATCTTCCTTTCGCTTTTTCTAACATTTCATTGACAATTTCACTTTTTGCTGCAATTGAACTCTTTTGTCTTCGACTTAATTAATTTATTTGGTAATTTCAATGTTTACATAGAACTGAACTGCGAACTGCGAACTGCGAACTGCGAAGTGCAGTTCATTGTGCCTCAGACGAAGCGTGGCGTTCATCATATTAATGCGTTTTTTGTCCCTTCAGGAACATTAGTTATCATTTGAGGAAAACGCCAAATAAAAATGACGTTTTAATTTATTTTTGTTACTGTTCACTTCGCACATTGTCCTGACATTTAGTGACACGCCGCGCTCCGAGCTACTGCACAACCCTGCAATTGATTTTGCAACCAAAGAAAGAAAACAGTGGAGCATCCCTTGCACTCCGACTTAATTAATAAAGCGTTTAAGGATGTAGCCAAAGGAAGCAAATGCGAAGTTTATGTGCACTTGTTTACACATCGTCTGTTGTCCTTTTTAAATGTAGTGATGTAGTATCCATGAAGTCGATACTGCAATTAAGTGTAATTCATGCGCTCGTCAACTCATAAAGCACTGTTAGGGGCTCGTTCCGGAGGCTTGTCTTCTATTAAATTCTCATTTACTTAATTCACTGTCGGTTTCGATTCTATTCAAATTTACTTGCACTTTTTGATGCATGTACGCAAGAAAAACTTTAAATATTGATGTGGCACTGAAGGGGCTTCGCTACATCACATGACGCAAATAAGCGGGAATAATTAAACTGATACACATCCACACCCAATTACCCACATATACACGTATGCACATATGCGAGTGGGTGATGTGTGTTGCACGATAAGATCACGCGATGTACTTTTGACGTAACATTAACCTCTTTTCTGTTGCCTCTTTGCAGTTATCATTTCAATGTGCTGGGTGGCAGGCATTATAGTTGGTCTATTACCGCTTTTTGGTTGGCATGCCAGTTTTGGTGCCGATCAGGCTTGCTTGTTTGTCGAGGTCATGGACTACGATTATTTGGTGTTTCTCTATTTTGCTACGATTATAACACCCGCCATACTAATGCTAGCATTTTATGCGCATATTTACAGAGTGATTATCAAACAGGTTAGTGTTAATACTATCTTATTTCTAAGTGATTATACTGATGTCCGTTTGTAGGTACGTCAAATTACAACGATGAATCCCGTGGGTGATAGTCGTCGCTCGTCAACAGCGCAGATACAAACCACAGCACCTACGCGTTGTCATGGAGGAACTGGTACAATGTTACGTGTGCTGGGTGCTGCTCGTAAGCGTGATGTGAAGGCAACGCAAAATCTTTCAATTATTGTGCTATTCTTCATGATTTGCTGGATACCACTGTATACGATCAACTGTATTATGGCTTTTTGTCCAACTTGTTATGTTCATCCCAAGTTAACGCTTTTCTGCATTATTCTTTCACATCTCAACTCTGCTGTGAATCCAGTATTATACGCTTATCATTTAAAGGACTTCAGAGCTGCGCTTAAAAATCTGGTGCTTAAGTTAATGGGCGTTGATATCGAACAACCAGTTGACAATACAATACATCGCTTCTCATTGGCAAGTCAACATCGCCTACAATCAATGGATGCATCTTGCATTAGAAGCTCACTACATCCCAGAATTTATGTAGGTGAGTTATACATAGAAGTACTTTATGACAAGGATTAACACAGAAAACAAAACTCACCAAATGAACAGGAATTATATATATATATATATGTATATTTTTATTTAAAATAGTTGGACTACAAAAAAACTTTGATTTATTCTCTTACGTATCGTGTATTAAATTTAAATAGTTGTTGTAAACCAATTTGACTAATTGATTTTAAAAAAACTTTTTCACTTTCAGATTCACCCATCTGGCTAAGACAACAACAGCAAGAATCATTAAAGTGCACCCAACTGACACCCAAATGTGGTGTGGTAACTCCATGCCTCAATAACATTCATCAAACCGTTGCTGCTGTTGCTTCAGTTACGGCGAATATTGAGCGAGACATATGGAACATAATGGAAGCATCAAGCGGTGCTGAAATTGGTGAAACCAGCTATGAATTTCCTGAGGACAAAGATCAACAAACACCAACCCCACCACCAAGAAGACACAGGCGTTCAATGCCACAAACCGAACAACGTTCAGACAGTCCTTATACTTATGAAAATCGTAACTACTCCACAAGTCCCGAAGAGGCTGACTTTGATGAAGTATTTCTACCTGTAGTGAATAGCAATGGAAATGGCATCGATCACAAGGAACTGCACAACTCTTTAGTAGCCTGTGCTTTGCGGGAGAAATTGCGTTCCGATGACACAGATTATCAAGACCAACAACATTCACGGCAACGCGCATTGACTGATTCTTCCTACAGCGATATGGAATTACCAAAGCAAACTCCACAATCATCGCCAGCTAATGGTCTACTACAAAAACCAACGCCACCCCATACACCCACACAAAACACACTAACGCATAATAATACATTAAGTGCCACTTCACAAGCCACTTCCAACACATCTCTCGCCAATTCTTCAATATATGTCATAGACAATGACAAACATCCGCTATCACCGGGACGCAAGCCGAAGTTCAGAAAATCTCCACGCCTATCTGTAAATCTGAACAAAACAACAAAAGGCATTAGCCGTTCGTGCTCCTGTGCCAGTGACACAACCTCCCCAGTCAAAAAAGCACAAGATAGTGAAGTACAAACAGCAACACATTCCGACTCGAATAGTAGTAGCACATTAGCTAGTGTTGGCGATGTCAGATCAAACAGCAACAACAACAACTCGCACACAACCAATAATCTCAACTATTATACATTTCATCATCCCCACCAACAACAGTATAAACATAAATTTAGTCCATTAAAAGCTGTAAGCAACTACATATTTCCGCCCATAGTTAAGCATTCCAGTCTCTTTCAACTCTTCCAACCAAATCTAAGTCACGAAAACAGATCATCCGCAGGGAACTCCATATCTCCATTGCCAACAACAACTACAGTTTCAGAGACAACGAGAACTCAAACGCAAAACAATGTAAATACAACGCTAGGTTCGACCTCAACAACTACAACAGACGTTCCTATCTCTCCAACCTCTCCAACTTTTATGACCACTGCGGAAAGTTGAGACGAGGCTAAGGAACTTTTAGTTTAAGCCAATACTCACTTCGATTTAATCGTAAATGGTATTTAGAATCTGCAGTCTCATTTAGCCTTACAGTTCTAATTTAAGCTTAGTTTTATGGACACATTTTAGTAAGTTATTTCATTGTACTTCTGATACATAATTCTTCCACCAATTAACTTTAGTTTATATATGTTTAGGCTAAGATTGCAACAGCAACAGTAAAAATAAGTTAAATAAAAATAATTTGAGAGTTCAAAGTCTGTGTTAAGATATAGGCCTCAGGTATTTAAAAATGTATTAAAACAATGATAATATGGAGTGATTGATGAGGTTTTCTTAACATAACCTAACTTTTTTGGTTTCATTTAAGCACCAGAAAAAAAATTTAAGGGGGATAGCAAAACGCATATTAGAATCTAGAATAAAAATATAGAAAATATTTAAAAGATGTATTACTATATAAAATATAAATAAATATAGTATAAATATTTTATGTCTGAATATTTATAGATAATTGTTGTCCGTTTTTAAAGTATTATGTATTTAAATATATATTAAATTTTGTTGTATGTTACAAATGTATGAACGTAGAGTTATTTGAAGTTAATAATATTTGCTCCTTAATTGATGTATTGTGTGAAAAAAAAAACTGTAAAACCAAGAACTTCTGTCATTAAGTATTCTTCTAAAAAAAATCTTATTAAACTCAATATAATGCAAAAAATAAACGAATCTTTGATTGTAAAATTAAAAAAAAATGGTGGAAAATTACTTTTAAGCAACAAAATTAAGAAAACAACTTTTTCGACTTCTGGAATTTATTAATACATTGTAGCACCAAACCAATAATTTTTACAGATTCCAAATAACATGGCATAGTTATTAAAAATAATTTTTAGGATAATGCCTAAAACTTGATAAAAGTATGTGCTGTGAACAAATCAAATCATACAGACTTTAATTTAGCTATTCACCTCAAAACTGTCAAAAAAATTCACTCACATGTCTACTTCATAACTAGTCGTTTAGATAGAGAAAGTAGTGTTGTTGCTCTGTGTACAAATTAACGACTTTAGGTAAGCGATTTGTTGATTTCCGAATGTTTAGGAGTATTTCTTTGGAATAGATACAACTTGACTCAATACAATTGTATTTATTGAACAAAATTTGTTACTTTTTCACTTCGTGCTTCATTTTAAACCAATTACAATCTGAAGCTTAGATAAATCCAACTAAGCTATTACAGAAATTTAATAGTGAAAAATAAAAGTATTCGTTCCAAGATTGTACTAGCAAAGAAGTATCGTATTCTTATTAAAGACAACATTTTTGTTGGAAGGTCTAAAAATAACAATCATTATTGATTGTGCCGCATTCTTATTAGTCATCAACCTAGTTCATTGAAAAGCTTACAAATGGAAGCTTCAATCTTAACCAAATACTCTATTTTATATTGCGTCCCACACCAAATCGAGTTATTTTATTGTTTGCAAGAAATTATAGTTAAAATTTTAAATAATTATTGCTTTGTTATTTAGTTACTTAGGTGAAAAGCCATATATGTTGTTAATACTTCTAAAAAACACATAATAGTTTAAACAAAAGTTACGCTGCATTGCGAACCACTCATGACGTACTACAGTGCATCACCCTAAAACGACCATATAAATCGCAAATATAATAAACTAATATGTCGCACAATTCATTATAAGTAGTAAAATCATTATTAGTAGTCACAAAATTGACAGAACACTTTAAAATTTATTTTTATACCTATTACTAACATCCATTTCTAACGTAAAAACAATCTTCATATAAAAAATAATGTTTTTTCAGTAAAAGGTACAAATTTTGTGGAACATTTTTTTTACCTTCTCATGTGCCATATTATTTAATTAATTTTTTTATGTAAATATATCAACAGGTCAAATTATAATAACACTCAAATATTTTATTTTTCTATTGTGAATACACAATATAAATCTATTGTGAATCGTCGCTATTCAGCTGTCAAAACAATAGCTCTCACGTGTAGTTGTGCGAAGCGCTATGAACTGCTCTTGGTAAATCTTAAAGAATTCAAACATTTCTTTTGCTGTTCATATATTTACTGTAAAAATTTAAAAAACCTCATAACTAAACATGTCTTCATCTTTTTTTCTTAAAAAAGAACCAAAAGGAAATAAAAAGCGCAAAGTAAGTTATCCGATAACATAATTGCTTTTTAGTTTTCAACATTTGAACATCTTAGGGCCAAAATGTGGGAAGCGCCAGCAAAAATAAAAAGCGGAAAGATGTCTCGATACCAACAACAACGAAGAAGCGACCTCAAAAAGATGACGAGGAAATTGCCAGCGATGATGAAGAATATGAAAGCGATATTGATGGCAATAAAAGTGCATTAGTATTCTCATCGGACGAAGGCGAAGAAGAAACTGCTCAGGATAAACGCTTACGTTTGGCAAAACAATATTTGGAGGAAATAGAAAAACAGGAAGCAGAACGCGCTGAAGAACGCGAAATGCATGACCACGTATCGAAGCGATTACGTACAGATTATCTTGACAGTGTAGGACGATTGCGACGTTGCATTGCTGCTTCAATTGCTGGTTACGATGCTGATAATATTATAACCCTTAAACATAAATTACAACACCTACCAATGTGTTCACTTGTGCTATCAGCGGATGGTAAATATCTTTTTACTGGATCGAAAACGCAGCATGTACTGAAGTGGGATTTAAATACGCTTAAAATAGTGGGTAGCTTTAATGTACAACCTTATACAGAAGATCCTGACAATGGAAAAAGTCGACGTTCGCACATTATTGCTATGTGTTTGTCCACCGACATGAAATATCTAGCTTTAGCCGAAGGCGGCAATAATATACAGATTTGGTGCCCTCAGCAATTGACACACTTGAAGACTTTTAAAGGCCACCGTGATGTGGTGACTTCACTAGTATTTCGTAAAGATACACATGAACTGTATTCAGGTTCTAAGGATCGCTCTGTTAAAATTTGGTCGCTGGACGAAATGGCTTACGTAGAGAGTTTGTAAGTAATAAGTTGAATAAAATACATAAGAAGCGTTACGAAAATGTTTATCACAGATTTGGACATCAGGCTGGTGTGACTGGCATAGATGCGCTAAGTCGAGAACGCGCTGTATCATCAGGTGGTTCTGATAATTCGCTACGAGTTTGGAAAATAACGGAGGAATCCCAACTCATTTACAACGCTCATCAGAGCAGCATAGAAAATGTCAAGTTCATAAATGATGAAAACTTCGTGTCTTGCGGTGTTGATGGGTAAGCAAGCTTATTCATGTATAAAAGACATATGATATTTACATTTACAATAGTTCACTTTGTGTATGGAGTGCAATGAAGAAAAGACCACTCTGCACGGTGCGTGAAGTGCATGGCAAGCAAACCAATTCCGATGCCAACTGGATATGTGCTATTAGCTGTGTAGTCAATACAGACTTAATTGCATCAGGTGAGTGTTAATCTGAGTGTGTTGAGAAAAAATTGAATTATAATTAATACGTACGTAGGTTCCTGTGATGGTTTCATACGGCTGTGGCAGTCTAGTGACAATGGCAAGAAACTGAAACAAATTCTGGAAATACCCATGAATGGCTTTGTAAATAGTTTAGCATTTAACAACGATGGCACTAAATTGTATGCTGCCGTTGGCCAAGAACACCGACTGGGGCGATGGTGGCGTGATAAAGAGGCGAGAAATAAAATCGTTGTTATTGACTTGTTAAAAAAAGAAGTAGAAAACTCTAGTTAAGTTTATATAATTTGCTTTATTTAGTAAGCAAAATAAAATTTTATAAAATTTATTAAGTATTTTTTATGAGACTAGAAGGAATAAATGGATAACAAATCCTTTATAAAACATTGATAAAGGAACACTGATACTGCAGAGCTCATCAAAAAGTACCAGCGATGATTAGTAAAGTTACCAAAGTTATAAGCTTAAATATTCTGGTTACAGCCAAACTTCCGATTATTATTGGTAAGCCGAGTCATTTCTCTGCAAGCTTTTTGAGTTCCAGCTGGCACTTAGTACTGAGCTATCTGCTAGTCCAATTTTCTTACAAAACTACTACATAACTTAAAAACAGTCTTCTCCAATCACATCTGCTATAGTGGCTACTAATCTCCTGGAATGTTCAACTGCACACGTTGCTGTTACCAAACCCAAATGTATACAAAATAATTCGTAGCATTTAATTTTGCCTGGTGCCGCTTCGGGAAAACACTCTTCAGCCAATTGCTGATAATACTCCATCGCAAGCAAGCCAGGCTCATACTGCGTTTTGAGAACTTTACCTGCCGTTGCGGGAGCATTGAAATGCTGCTGTAGATCAACTGATTTCAAGGCCCCACTCGCTTGATCCTCAAACCACAAAAAATAAGAGTAATTGAAAGTTTTGTCTTTCCACATGACAGTTGTTTGACCTTTCTTCAAATAGTTGCGTGTGAATTCCACCATTGACCAAAGTTTCTCCTTTGGCACAAGTTGATTGACTCTTAAGTCGGGCGCTATCATAAGCCCAGATGAACGATTTATGTACATAAAGTGAATTAAACCTGCGATGAATCAAAATTATTATAAACAATGGAGAGTAATTGAAATGGTGTACAACATACCGGGGAAGTCCTCTAAATAAGCTTCTATGGAAATGTTGCGTTCCGCCTTGACAGCTAAAAATTCAGAAACTTCGATTAACTTGCTGTCGACAATACTAGCTACTTCGGGCAGTTGGTCCAGTGCTACTGAAGAACTATCACAACAGGACAGCGTAAATAGTTGTTTTAAATCCTCCACAAAGGAGGGCATATTCGATTCTATCCGTACCAGCATTTCACGTTCAAAACCCTTTAAAAACTCCGCATACATTTTGCGCAGGTTTTCCCATTTAGCACTGAACTTTTTAACTGCAATCTCAAGATCGTCACCCTTGAGCTTGGCACGTTTTAGGGAATCCAACGATTGCTTAACAAATACTTTCAGACACTCATAGGATTGCTTCAAGGCATCTGTATCGCCTTGCGTTTGCACGGAAACAATTTTCTGCAGCACGAAGAAAGTGTCGTAAATGCTGCTAGCCACCTGGACATTTGCGTATTCTACGATTTGTATGAGCACAATGCCTTTTTCCAATTGCGTCAGATGCGCTATGCAAGGCACACAGCCTGAACATGGATCCTGCGACAAGCCCTGCAAAAATACTGCCACAGAGTTGTTTAGTGGCTTTGTGTCCTGCTGTAGGGAGCGAACCAGCAGTGCTAAGAATAGCAGATCTGCCGCACTCAAACTCAGGGCTTGCTTTGTGCTGGTTATGCTTACAAACTTATGCGAGACAAACATTAATGCGTGCGCACGATTATAGCCAAACTCTCGTAGGCGCTCCAGTGCAGCATCCAAAGTTGAACGAACTGTACGCTTTAGTTCTGCATTAATCAATAAATGTGGCAGCGCTTCTAACATCATCGACTGTTCGGTGTCAAACAAATGCTCTTCATAGCACTCCAAGCAAGTGGAGAGCAGTTCTTCCTGCACGCTGCTGGCCTGTGTTGAAAATATGTTTGCTCCATAGAAAAGACGCGTTAGTGCAATAGCTACACCCAAGTGACGTTTCAAAGTTTTTACTGGTTTTTGTCCAATTTTGATGAACGTGCAACCGAGCAGTTCGCCAAATGTAAAATTCAAGCCGTTTTCGCACTCGAAGCTGGCGTATGTGTTATCGAATTGGAAATGCATTATGCGTTGCGAGTTAATAACTGGACTGAATATTTGTAAAATTATATTACCATCCACAGCACCTATAACATTAATTCGCCGTTTTTGCCTTTTATTCACAACGAAATATTAGGAAATGTACCTACCATTGGCATCTTCATCCAGCAGTCCTTGCTTAATTGCTATATCCTTTACCTTTTCCGACAGTGCGGCGTTGAATTGTTGGAAAACAACGTCATTTGCACTGTTAAACACTATTAAGCCGTTCATTTTGATTATTTAAATTTTGTGCTTTTAAGCCATAAACATTTTTGCAATTTTTTTTAAGTGTAGAGAAATTTTTCCGATGTAAATATTAAACTACCCTATGTGGTGCTTCTTCTTCAGGAAAACTTCTTTATTTACAAAAAATCTTATCAATGTCATATTGTGAATTTGCAGAGCAAAGTGAGTTGAGAACAGATAACACAAGTACCTGTCATACTAAGCAATTACTCGTTCCTTTCAAATACGTCTCTTTGACGTCACTAAGGATTACCAAAACATTTGTAAATTGGAGTACGTGCGTGCTTCAGAGTTCTAAAAATTATTATTAAAAAATATGGGAAAACTGCAACTCGAACACACTTTGAAAGGCCATAAGGGCAGAATATGGGGCATAGCATGGCACGTGAATGGTGTTATATTTGCTTCGTGTGGTGAAGACAAAACAATACGCATATGGGGTGTATCGGATAATGTATGGACAACAAAAACAATACTTTCAGACGGTCATCAGCGCACGATTAGAGAGATAAGCTGGTCCCCATGTGGGCAGTATTTAGCTTCAGCTAGCTTTGATGCAACTACAGCGATTTGGTCCAAAACATCAGGTGAATTTGAATGCAACGCTACATTGGAAGGGCACGAGAATGAGGTGAAAAGTGTGAGTTGGTCAAATTTAGGTGGCTTACTAGCCACTTGTTCACGTGATAAGTCTGTGTGGATTTGGGAAGTTGTTGGCGACAACGAATTCGATTGTGCAGCTGTGCTCAATTCTCACACTCAAGATGTCAAACGTGTTGTGTGGCATCCACATAAAGAGCTTCTGGCCTCTGCATCATATGACAACACAATAATGATGTATTCTGAAGGTGCTTGTGATTGGGATTGTGTCGCCACTTTATCTTCACATACTAGCACTGTTTGGGGTATTGATTTTGATAGCACTGGAGACAGATTAGTGTCGTGTAGTGATGACAAAACATTAAAAATTTGGCGATCTTATAAACCTGACGAAGAAGAATGCTTTAAGGAGAATACATGGAAACTAATATGCACTATTTCGGGCTTACATACACGTGCTATATATGACGTGTCTTGGTGTAAAATAACTGGACTGATAGCTACGGCATGTGGTGATGATGCAGTGAGAATTCTTAAAGAAGACGAAAGTTCTACTAAAAATGAACCAACGTTTTCGTTAGAGACAGCAGAAGATAAGGCACACATGCAAGATGTGAATGCTGTAAAGTGGAATCCAAAGGTGTCTGGCCAGTTACTTTCCTGTAGTGATGATGGTACAATTAAAATATGGAAATTTGTGGAATAATTGGTTGATGTATGAGTTTGTTGGGTTATGTGTACGAATTAATAAAAGTTATATTCTATTATATATATTAAACGTATTGTATTAATGACTAAATGTATTATTTTTTAACATAAACATAAATTTATTTGCATAGGAATGGCTCATGTAATGTTTTATACAACTTTTGGGCCTTCCGTGGGCCTAGACCAATTACTTGCGAGAGACGTTCGTCACTCGCATTTATCAGATTTTCCAAATTACCGAATGTTTGCAATAATGTGACAGCATCTGTTTTGTTCACTGGTTTTATGTGTGTGAGTGCAGCTACAAGCTAGAATAATTAAATTCGTTTACAAATTCTTTAGAAATGTATATGCAGATAACCTTTTGATAGGGGCTTGACTCTGTGCGCTCCATAATTAAGTCCGGCGGCCGCTTTTCATACAACTTATATGTTTCAATAATTTTACCAGCTTCTTCATGATTCCAAGCTAGCATCAACGTGAGATCAGTTAGTAGACTAATACGTGTTAAACTTTTCAATGCATTGTGTGGTTCCTGGTTAAATAAAAATCATAGAATGAATCCAACAATAAGTATTAAGGTCTACTTACTGTTGTGTCAACTTGGACCAACAAAACACGTAGATCATATTGTTTACCAAGTTGCTTGAGTCGCTCACATATATAATCTGGATTCAAATTATGGTATTTTAACGATAAGTATAGAATGCAAGATGTACGCCCTACAACATAATCTGGTATAATTTCATTATTAAATTCCCATGGTGCGTTCAGTATTGATTTGAGTATTGGATTTCCACGTTGTTTTGGATTAACTAATATTGTGTGCGGAGTTGGAGCTTTAGAAGCTGTAGCAACTTCTTTTATTGCATTTGTGGCCACTTTTTTCGCAATTTCTGAGGTACCATCATCTTTCACGACTAGCTTCAGTACTTTTGGTGCTGTCGGTATTTCTAGATTGGCCAGCTCTGCATCAAACGAATCATCTGGACCATCATCAAACATTTTTGTTCTTTACAATGATATTGAAAATATATAGTTAATTTAAAATAAATTATAATAACATGTATAGGAACAATTTAAATTTTTTGTTAATTATTGGTATGTATTGATTGAACAATCATCTGTTCAATTCGCCGTAACGGCAAATTTCAGGCAAAAGCGTGAACATACTACACGCCTCATGCAATACTATTGTGAACTGATTCAACTGTAAATAATTCGAAAGAAAGTAATTTTTAGTATTTATTTCATGGATTTACTTTTATTCAATTAAATATTTGCTACTAATGATGTATTTTTTGTATTATTAATAAAGTTTGTATTTAAAGTGGAAATTAAGTGTTTTCTATTTCTTTCATAAGTTATATGCTTTATATTTCACCATTATACCAGAATTAAAATATGCTTATTAATATTATTACGGCAATATAATCAGTTCTATAAACAATATAAAGAAGAAATAAATAATATTTGAATGATATTTTGTTTTTTTCAAAAAGAACTAATTTCTGAAAAAAAACACGATATTTGTCAACAGTCTTAGAGCGTGCTTTAAATAAAAAATATCTAAAATGGTAAACCTAAACAACTGAATATATCTCAACGAAATGTGATCTTTCAGCAAAATCCCTCTTCCGGAGCAACTCTTCATTGAAAATCACGACTAATTTGAAGTTCAACATTTATAAAGAATGCTAACCAAGTAAATTATATGAGCATTATAGGTTATAGTTACGTATTGAAAAGCAATTTAAATTATAATTCTTATATACTTTAAATATTCGTTAAATAAAAATGCCCTGTAATTGAAGCAATAGTATGATTTTAATTTGATGTAAAGTATATTCAAAAGAGTTTATATTTTTTCAGTAAAATAGTTTTCTAGTAAAAGGAAAAATAAACAATATTAGATACAACATGGGAACTATGCACAAATGTTCCAATTAAATTCATGTCAATAAATTAAGCTCTTAACTTTAATTAATACATGCGGTTAAAATTTATTTTTACTCAAATCTGTTTATAGAAATAAATTACTGCCGAAAAGGTTGCAATAAGACGGGTGTCAGAGGTCGAGGGTTTGAGGAATATGATGTGATGGACCTAATAAATCAAGATCAGGAAATTAATATTCATACATATCTGACCTATATAAATATAAGTATATTTGTTATATTTATTAATAAGTTGAGATATCGATATTAATAACCCTAATTATCTATATAGCATTGTGATTTTCTATATATATATTATTATATATTATTATTATATATATATATTTTATCTGTTAAATCTAATTTCTTTATTGTAGTACTTACGTTGGTAAACATATTTATTAAACATTAGTCCTTAATACTCTCCTTCAAGTGACCGAATATAGAAACATATTTGTGACATATTCAACGGATTCAAAATAATTTACTGGAATAAATAATCTTATAGATATAAGTTCTGCAGTAGGAAATAATAAGAAAAAGATAATTTTAATCAAGAAATACAGAAGTACTGTCTAAGCAGAGCTTTTCTAAAAGAATATTTACAGTAACTTGGAACATATGAGTGGGTGCATATGTTAGAGCATATATAAGAACATATAGTACCAACATATGGAGCATATCACTTGGAACATATATGATAAGCCTGTCGGGCTCTTACAAAAGAGGTACTAGCGGACATTGTACTCTCATAAACTAAACATTCTTGAATTGTGAAGAAAATTCTACTAACAGAAATAAGGAATAGAGAACTTCATGAAGAACTTCATAGAGGACTGTTCTCTATGAAAAATTGTTTAAAGAAAATTTTTAATTTGTAAATATTTTCACCTCAATGAGATTACAAATAATTATCATTTGAAACTTTTATTTTTATTAAATATTTATATTTTTGAATTTGAATAATTGATCCATTTTCACAATTTTAATTATAATTCGCAACTTGTGAAATCAATTACAAAAATAAATAAACACGTTAATACGAGTATGTGTAAAAGCTGAAACTTATGCAAATATTTTTGCATAAATTAAATTTTGAATATTTTTGTTTGTTTCAGGACAAAATCCTGATGTCAGGATTTTGCTGCAAAATATCAGCAAAAAATTTATGTCTGAACATAAATGAAATGCATGCGTGTGCAGTCTGCAGTTTATTTGCATTTTTTGCACTTCCATAAAGTCACAATTAAATGCAGATGCATGACAAACCAACAACAAACACACAGGCAAGGATTTATTGACAAGGGATGCAAGTTAACAATTTGTTGAATATTTCTTAGAAAGTGAATGCAACAATTGTGTGGTGCCTGCAGTGCTGATTCCATTGTGTTGGAATCTCTTTTCTTTGGTACCATTTTAGCCACAAATTCCGTATCGAAGCATAGCGGTTTCCTTTATTCAAATAAATTTCAAATCCATTATTAAATAAAACATTTTTTAATTAATAAAGCAGTTTCCTGCCAAGTCTCAGCACAACATGTGAAAAACATTATTCAATTAAATTTTGCCTGCTTTTCATTTAATTTAACGAATTAAATTTCGTTTCCTCTCCGTTTACTTACAGACAAACACAATTAAATAATTTCCATAATATTTATGTAAATCAGGAAAATTGATTTAAGATAGCTACAAAAATAATTTCACAACAAATGAATGCAAATGAAGTCATTAGAAAAATGTTTTTATTCGAATTTAATACGTACTCAGTACCGAACCACACTCACTCAGCTCAGTAGAAACCGTAGTCAGCCGTAGTCATCTACATCTGCAAATTGTGGACAAAATCTGTTGGACTCGTAATTATTCATGCAATCTGAAATATGTACGAATTGTCTACATTCAGTTCGTCTTGCTGACAAAGGGAGTCTTTCATTGTTTCATTATATTTATACAAATAATAATCATAATAGAAGTAAATAAATGTATGAGAATCCATTTGAGTGCTCGTCCGGATAGACAAATCCAATGCAATCCAATGAGAAGGGAAAATTTGCATACTGTTTGTGTAGTTCGGACTAGTTTGAAGTACAGTTACAACAATGGAAATAATAGAAGAAATTTGAGTGGTTCTGTTTTAGAGCAGATTGTTTTAAATGTTATCCAATTATGCAGTCTTGAGGTCATGAAAATAGATAAAAATTTTAAAAACTAAATTGATAATGAATGAAAGTAACAGACACTGTATTTAATGACTAAAATTTATTTCTATTTTCCACTCTAATTAATTGATTTCAACACTTCAGTTAGGACCATTAATTAATATTATGACGAAATTAGTAAATTCATGATCAGAAAACTATCCATTACTTACATTATATATTAATATGTTGATATGTTTAGATATACTACATGTCTGTAAACTGTACCCTAATTTTAAGTTTGTGATTCATAATATCTGCAAAGCCGATGTTTTCCCGTTGTTAAGTATAACTATGCTCTGACAGTCATGTACTAGGCTTAATCATCCAGCGTAGTTTGTCTACCTCACTACTAGTTACCATAAACCCACCAAAAATATTTTTCAATGATCAATTTTTCAATTTCTGATCACTGATATAAGTTAGATAACTTGCTTATCAAAGTTTGTCAAGCTTTATTTTTTAAACATATCTGCTTTAAGGTAGTTGGCTATAAGCTCCTGATTTTAAAGACTCTGGAATGACTCTTTTACTGATAAGTCCGTGGATCAGAATTATCTCTCCTTGCTATGTTTGCCTATTTTTCAAGTTCAAAACTTTGAAAAAGCTATGCCATGAATATGTTTAAGTTTATATAAGTTAGATTTAGACTTAAGATTTCATAGCGGCCAAGGCCTACGTCAACTATATTTAAGTATAAGCATTTATTTCAATTTTTGATGACAATAGTCTTATGTAATATTAGTTAAATGGAAGGTAATATTTATATTCAGTTAAAATATATAAATATTTATTATTTTATGGCCAGAATTATTATTATTTTATTGTATTGGGTCTAATGATCAATTAGGTTCAACTACCTATTGTTATAAATGAAAATTAAAAAAAATAATTTTATTTATATTTCGAGTTTAATCTAGAATTGTCTTTAAGAACATTAGTTTAACATAATTGACCAATAAGCCCAATACAACACAATAGGTAAAATAATATTATTGACTACCTCCGCCACTACATTATCTAGTTTCAACAAAGTGTTTATTTAAGAGCATAAGGAAATTAGTAAATTAGCTCTGTAAAAATCAAACCCCCTAACCACTTGCTTATTTTGTTAATAAACAATGCATTGTTTAATATTTACTTAATTGCTTCTTTAATGAGCCACTGATCACTCACTTGATTCCAAGTGGCATTTATATTACAAGTTATTTTAATTAAACTTAATTCAAAACCAAAGTTGAAACTTACCTTCTTACTTACATACATACATACATACGAGTACCTGCGTTGAACGACAAGTTGCCAACTATAAGCAGCTGCAGAACGCCTCTCACCTTCTGTTTTAAAACAAATTAAAAACCAAAGTTAAAAATTATAACAACAAAAATGCGCAAACGCCGCTGCCGTCTTGGCTTAAACCGTCTTAGCCAGCGACTTTGTCAAACTTCGCTAGTCTAAAATTCCTCAGTCGAATCGGAGCTTTTAAGCGAGTTGGTCTATTTGCCGCGTACGTTGTTTACATATTTTTTTTTTTACATTACTCCGTGTAATAACAGTAAACAACAATAACATTACTACAACAACAACAACCACAACAACAACTGTTGCAATAACAAAGAAACAACAACCTTCAAAATGACAGCAAAAGCAAAATTATTGCATTGCAGTGGCATTGTGTTGTTGTTGTTGCTGCTGTCGTTGGTGTGTGAATGTGCACTTGCTACGCCAATGTTGTATAAGAAAACAACTCAAGATAAATACGAAGCAGGTGAAGCAGAAATGAATAATTGATGAAGAAAAATCGAATTAATTAAAAAAAAACGTATGACAATATAATCATAAAATTTAATTGAATTAATTTAATGCAGATCTTGTGCCAGTGTCATCAACCGTCATTCCGCTAACGGTACTCGAAGTTAGTTATGGCTTAGGCGGCAAGCCAAGCGAGGAATATAAAATGGCGTATTTGAAAAAACTGCGCAAGAAAGTACAGCATCCGGAGAGTGCCGATCAAGAAGATCCAGATACGCTCATAACAAGTAAGTATAGAAGTGATTTAAAGATGACTATAAGGAAACTGATTATAAGGCCCTATGCTCCACAAGGAGATAAAGGAATTAAAAAAAAAAAAAAGGGGAGAAAGTTAAGACTAAATATGTATATGAATACCCATCGTTTTAAAATAACACACCTCACAGATTACCACTACTTCAAATTGTTATCACCTCAATTTGTTTAAATCAAGATCATTTTATATCCACTGACATTTACTATAAGTTTGACAAAATCTTTTTCATGAGTAACAGTTTAAGAATCACAACCTAAAGAGATGAGACCCGACCCTCAGCTCTTAAGAAAATAATAATTCTTATGGACTCTTGCCAGTTGGAATTGAACAAAATTGGAAGTTAAAAATTTAGAAAGCTAAAGATTTCGCTACTTTATTTTACAATCATTATGAAAATAATATTCCTTTAACTCATCTTAACCTCACTTAACTGAATAAAATTGGCAAAAAAGCAATTAGCAAATTGAATATTTCTAATAGTTATTATTTGCCTAATACTAAAATTAAGTAAATATTAACTTTGCTTTCCAACACATATAACATAGTTTTCAATAGATCTTCTAATAATGCAGATCTTCTCAATTCTTAATTCACCTTCTTAATTTTTTTTTGATGGGTTCTTAGATGCCATGCTAGACATCTAAGGATCACAGCAATAACAATAGCCAGACACAACAAGTTTATCACATTTAAAACAGTTTACTTTTTAGTATAAACCTATAAACATTTCATACACTCTAATACTAAATGACATTCCTGTGTAGTATAAATACTATAAACATATAGTAAATTAGTAATTGTGATGTTGGATCTCCAATTCTGGGCCGTCGCAATTTTAAAATTGTAAATAAAATGTGGCTTATCAAAACGATTTATAAATATCTGGAAAGAGATACTTTTCATCAGTTATGACTTTTTTAAATGAATAATTTCCATATATAAATTGAAATACATATTACTGATATATTTGTACATTTTAAAAAACATAAAAGTGATCCTAAAATCTGTTTCTGGACACCTAAAGGCTTAATATTCCACCGGCTATAATACAGTAGTTGATACCAATTTGCTGTACATAACTTGCGAACATGCTTGACAACTTATCAAGATATTGCCACTTTTTCCAGTTACAGTACCTTATATAACATTTACTAAACTATACTAAACTATACTACATAGCCTCTAGTAACAAGCTTAGTTTTTTTTCATAGATCAGTCATATTTTGTATTGAATTTATCTGATTATATATATTCTTACATCCTTATTTTCTTTTGTTACGCTTTCTTTATCTCTTTTTTTTTGTCACACTTTCTTTCCTTCTCTATTTCTTCTCCATTCTCTTTCTATATCCCTTTCTTACACTTTTTTCCTTATAAAAACTCTTACTTTTAAATTCTTTATATTTTTAACTTTGAAATTGCGCATACGAACTTTTCCGACAGGCATTTTTTGCATAATTATATCTCCGATCACGTATTTACTTATTAATTTTTAACGCGATTTTAATGCTGTTGTCTGGCACTTTGACTGTTGCTTATTTTAGTGTATATAATTCAACTAAATTGAGTAAAAGTTGAAAAGGCTTGCTTTGTAAGTAATATGAACTCTACAGTTACACATTTCTAATTTTTTTTTATGATTTTCAGTCAGAAAATATATATCTACGTCTAATCAGAAAATCAGATCTAATCAGATAGAGATAATGAATTTTATAATTATTTCGTTTAAAAATTTCTTTTACTTATAAATAGTTATTGAACCCTGAACTGTACATCTTGATTATATTAATGATATATATATAATATAATAAAATATTTATATTAATAGTGTTGTAATTATAAGTATTTGGAAATTGCTCACATGGAAGAATACCTATCCAAAAGAAGCCGTGCAACTGGGCGTATGTTTAACGCATAACTCAACCCACACGATTTCTTCTGCTGATTGAACAGAAAACGTTTTTGTTTTAAAAACAAATTCAAATTTTGTCTCAATAACTTTTAAAAAAAAACTTTAATTTATTTACTTTATATAAATTGTATTTTTCGTCATTTTTTGTAATAATTTTAATGTTATTTTGTAATTCCATGATTTCAGTCAAGAAGAAACATCACGAAGCGAGCAAAGCCAAAGTCAAGGGCGTTTCGAGCAATTGAAAATTGAAGTCCGCCGTCATCCAAAAGTTGGTCAATGATTGAATGATGCCACTCCACTAAATGATGTCATTTTTGTTAACAAAAAAGTTATTTAATCGATACTGTTGTAAAATTTGTTTAATTTCTATCCAATTTTTATAAATAAAACAAAATAAGCAAAAATATAAAAACACAAAATAAAATAAAATTAATGTCTTTCTACTAAGTTGGTATGTCTTCCCACTAAATTGGTATGTCTTTGATGTTTAGTTGAACTTATTTTATTTTAAGATACATATATAGAAACGAGGGTTGTTTAAAAAGTCAGAAATTGAAATAATAAATAAATATACGTGCATTATAAGTAGAGAGTTGAACAATAACTATTATTATTATGTTGAGGCTAGTTGAGTCAGTGCACTTGAGTACTTTTACTCTCTATTAATTACGAGATATCTTTATAACCCCTCTCTACGTCTTGACTGAATTATTGTTTATTACTTCTTCAGACTAAGCAATAACTGACCTTAGTTCTGCATACCACCCCGAGGAGCCTATAACAATTCTGAGATTCGCTAACGTGGTGTTGATAAGCCTGTCAGTTTTCGTGAGTAGTTCAGGGCTCTATTCTTTATGTATATTTTTGATCAGATCAATCTTGAGGTTCCTGAGGATGTCATTCATCCTAATGTAACAGGGCACCTTGAAAAGCCTTCTCAGAGCCTGGTCTTGAGTGATTTTCAGCTTGCAAATAATAGTGTACACATCCATAAAGAAATGACGATCGAATTAATTGGTTATATATCAGCTTCCTGTTCTTAGCATTGGAATTTTCATTCCATTACTGAATAACGGTTGGAGGTGATAAGAATTTTGGCACAGCTAATTCTTTTCAGTTCAACATGTTTAAGGTATGTGAATGTAGTAAATTCCTACATATAGAGATCTACATTTTGATATCTAAGTAATCTACTGAGATACAAATAATTCCACCCACAAAATAGAGTAAAGTCACTGTTTGACAACTTGGATAAATCATCTATAATAATAAGTAAACATGTAAGTATTAAGAAACAGTTTTAACTTGCAGAAGTAAGTAGTATTTTACTTCTACTTTTTTAAATAAAGGTATATATAAAGGTAGGTATATATTTACTTTAAATATATTTCATATCATTTGCTTAGATATACTGTACAAAATTGGGTTTCTTTGACACAATTAACAGAAAAACATATACCTAAAAACCATCATCCATCTTTTCAGTAACAATATTGACAGAACCTAAGTTAGTCACATGATAGCCACCCATTCTTGCTTAACAGACAGAAACCACTAAATTGATTCATCTCATCACGCTGTTTATATACGAGCATGTGATGAAGCGGTTCCCTTGACCGCTTCCTAAACACCTTCAGACACATAAAGGTATATTATGTGCAATAGTGGAAATGGAATAAAGCAGAGGGTACAAATGTGAACTTTAAATGTGAACTCGAACAATTTGTCAACTTTCTGAATTTTAAAACAAAAACTTTCATAAAACAAATGTGGGATTTCGTGGGCTTAGTGAAAAGAATATTCCGTGGCTATTGACCGATACGGTTTTTGTTGAATTTTCTTTATTTAAAGATTTCTGGTAGGGACAAAATAGTTTATTTTATTGTTTTTTCAATGGAAATACCGAAATGAAAATACTCTTGCAATTTATTAAAAATTGTTAACATAACAATCTGCGCTCGATGCGTTACGGAAACCTTTGAGAATTTCACGATGATTAAATAATTAAATTCGTCCTACAAATAACGAATTCGTCATGTTGCCATTGTGACATAAAGCAAATAAAATTTTATTCTTGCCAGTATTTCAGGTACAGATTATTGCAAAAATATATATACGTACAATATTTCTTCTGTTAATAAAAGTATTTATTCAGTTCTTACTCCCCCTTCTCTTTTAACAGTTCTTACACTTTTAAAACAGCTATACAATATATTTTTTATACGGATACAAATTTGTATTTCTTTTCTCGCATCCGAACATCGTAGATACTTAAAAATATTCTACAGTTTAAAATTGACTTTATAATGATGAAGATTAAAGAAAATTTAACATATTTAAAATTTTTTTTTACTTTAAGTAACCTTAAGTAAATACATATATAAGTAGGGAATTACTTTTAAAACAGAAAACTAGTTTTTCAGAGTCTTAAAGCGAATTATCTACGATACATTTTATATAAATATACCAAATAAAAGATAAAATGTATATGGAAAATATATATATCACTGATACTTATATTAGTAAAGAAGAATATTGTATATATATTTGAGATGGAAGAATATTTTTTAAGTTGACTTAGACTAAAATATATATGATAGGTCTGATATAGATACACCAAGTAAAACATTTAATACTTGTTTAAGTATGTATGTTGGCTTTAGAAAACTGATTCCATTTTTATTATTTTTATGTGGAGTATAAAGATTTCTTAAAGGTAGAGCGTCCTTTTTTTCCTACTTTTTAGGACGATTTATATAGAAGTACAGATAGAATGAACGATCTTTAGAACGAAAGTTTTGCCTGTCAATAGAGAGAGCTCGCCATTCCAATTACCTACTAAGCCATCTACAACTACTCCTACTTTTTAGAAGGATCTATATATTACAGATAAGTACAGACAGTTTGCACGACTTATAGAGCATAAGTTTTGTCTATCTCAGCCTCCTAATACTACTACTTAAAAATCTATACAGCATAGATAAGTATGGTTAGAATGAACGACCTATACATGTTAGCGAAGCACTACGACCATGGTTAATCTTTTGTACTGCAACAGACCCTAACCGAACAGAAGACATTCCGCCTTTCAAATGAAAGCCAGAATGTCAGCCGTTGAGAATCTCCTAATGTCAGAAGGGGAGATTAGTTCTTGACCCAGTAACCTTATATTGGCCCAGATCAAGGCTGGGCAATCGCAGAGAATGTGACTGGAAGGCTCATCTGCTTTCAAGCAGACTTGATAATCTATCTTTTCGAATAGACCCAAAGAATTATAAATCATTATTTATATGATAAATAAATTTTAAAATTTTTGGATTGATTTCTTTTAAATCTTAGTGTAGCAAAATCAATCATCTAAGATAATTGCCATAAAAATCACCTCAACAAACCGATTTCAAATTAAGTCTTGCATATTATAAATAAAATTTACTCACATAATTAGTTTTTTCCTAATTACAATGAAGTTAATTTAGGACTTCCTTGCTCGTAATTTAATTTTATTATTCTTAAACTCAGTTGAACTCAAACTCAGTTGGAAGTGAAACTTTCCAATTTGCAATTTAAAAGGCAATTCAACTGCCAAATCCTCAATTCGATTAACTGGCAATGTTAATGCAAACAATTTGCCGTATTGTTCGAGCCGAATTACACTCCAGAATTTGTGTAAATATTTGCATATAAGCATTTGCGATGCGAAAACCTAATATTTAAATACACTTAAATTCAATATGCGGCCTGAAATCGAAGATCCATTGTAATTGTAGGCGTCGTCCTCTTCATCCTCGTTCTCGTCCTCGTACCCGTCGTCGTCGTCGTTGTTGTTATTGCTGTTGCTTTTATTTTCATCGTTATTGTTATTTTTATTTTTATTATTGGAGGTCTTATTTATTGCCGTGCCTTCCGCGGTACTCGTACTCGTAAGTGTGTTTTATTTGCTTCAATTAGGATTTTGCTTTATTTTATTAACATTTCTGCCTTGTAATTTTTTACACAATTTTTCACTTTAAATTTGCGTCTCGCTTTGTTTTGTTTTCTTTTTGTTTTGTTTTTGTTGTTGTTTGTTACGTACTGTTTGGTCAACGTACTTTAGAGCATTATGCCATTCTTTATGTCATAACAATGTACTTAAGGCACGCACTTCCGCCGTAATAGCGCATTTCCGGCAATTTAAGGCGAAGTAAGTGACTTGACTGCGGCCGATAAAAACGATTGGCAAGAGGGAAATTACCATCAAAGAAAATACCAACAATAAAGTTGACTAAACGAAATTTCCTCTTTAAATTTCCAACACAACAACAATAACAACAACAACAACAACAACAGCAGCAATGACAATGGAAATAAAAGAATCGTGGCTTCCTACCTGTCTGACAACATACCTGCCTTTAACGAGTTTTAACTTAAATGTTTGTATGGTTTGGATGGTTTGGCCATACCAAAACCTTATGAAACCTAAATGTGGCAACAAATTTTTGGCAAAAATGAAAACAAAAAGTTACATAAAGACTACATGTCTTTATTCTACCAAATTGGCATAAAACGGATGTGTCAATAAAACGAAATGAAATGAAATGAAGTAAAATGAAATACAACTAAATACGTAAAATAAATAACTGCACAATACATTGTTGGTACATAAACGACACCGCCAGCTCCGATGCTTTATTTTTATCTTTGCAGATACTTTTTATTTCATTTTATTTTTTTTATTTTATATTTTATATTTTCCTCCAACAATTCTAAGAAATATCATTATTTTCTTACTTTAAAATAGATGATATCCCAATAAACGAAGCACCTCAAACCTTTAATGCGAGCAACAATGAAAGGACATCCACACCCACCCACATGAGAGCACGTTATCACATGAACGGTGGAAGTGAAAGCAAAAGTGCCGTAATGCTGGCAATAATGCCTTAAATGCGCTCATGCAATACTTACGATTACATTCCTCCGACCATACAGAAAATAGCATATTTCCAATCCCATGTTCCTCTGAAACGTCGTCGGTACACCGCACCGTTTGGTGTTTACTCTCCTGTCTTCGTTATCATTGATGTTACTATATTTGCTATATTTGCTATATTTACAGCGTGGCTAGCTGTAGTGCGAAGCTGTTGTGCACATCAACAGCGCAGTTGACGTTGGCGTCGTTAACATCGTTAACGCCATTGGCATCGTTAACGTCCTTCGTTGCTTTGTTTGCTGTTTGTTGGCTGTTGGCTGTTCGCTGTTCTCTGTTCACTGTTCACTGTTCGCTGTCAGTCAACGAACACTTTATCATATCATAATGTTGTGTTTGTGATTGGAAAATTCATGTCAGCGTGTCACAAACAAGCATCATTCGTTCGTTCGTTCGTTGTCTATCTGCTTTAATCAGA